ACAATCTAATGGTAGCAATTCTTGCTACTGGTGCATATGTATCAAAATAACCAAGCATTCTTTTTTTAAAAAAAACCTTTAACAACTAATCTTGCTTTTTATTTATTAATAGAACCATCAAAATTCATTTTTCTTTTAAAAATCTATTTACAACCAATTGGTTTAGAACTAGGTGGAAGATCAACTAATTTTTAAGTTTTATTAGACATCATGGAATCCATTTCATTATTTATAGCTTCTCTTCAAAAAATTACATCTTGAGATGCCAAAGCTTCATTTAGAGATATGGGATCATCATCCACAGTTGAGAATGTAGGTCATGAATTAAAAAAATTATTTTGATTAGCCTCAACAAGATAAATATAAAAGTCAGGTCCAAAGTTATAAGATGGATCATCTCTAATTCTCTTACTTCTTATTGGTTCTATTATTTCATAATCATTATTTTCTATAACTTCTTCATCAACATTATTATCATTTTCATGATTATTTTCATTTTGTATTCTACTTGATTCATTCAATTCACTTTTACAAGTGAGATTTTTAAAAAAATCAGCATTTCTGAATTCCAATATTGTGTTAGAGTTTAGATCCAAAAATCTATATGCTTTACTGTTTTGAGAATATCCTACGAAATCATATTTAGATGTTCTAGGACCCAAATTATTTCTTTTAGGATATGGAAGTCTAATATATGCAAAACAACCCTACACTTTGAAAAAAGTTAAAACAAAAGTTTTCTATCAAACAAAAGCTCATAAGGAGTCTTATCACACTTTTTATATGGAATTCTATTCAAAATAAAACATGCAGATAATAAAGCTTCACCGCGCAAGTTTAATGGCAAAGAAGAATAAATAAGCATTGCATTTACTACAACAACTAAAGTTCTATTTTTCATTTATGCTAGTCCATTTTGTTGATTGGTATAAGGAACAGTTACTTGATGAATAATACCATTAGTTTCACAAAACTCATTAAAGTATGTAGTACACATTTTCTAAAGTGAGTACCTTGCTTGAACTAGACTTTAGTTCCACCGTACCCTTTCCAAGCATATTTGTCATAGCTTAGGTTCTAAGTTGAACTGAATTACCGTCATCCATTGGTTCAAAAGTCTTACAATGTCTTGATTGTTAGACACATGAATGGTAGCACCAAAATTGACCCACCATCCATTGTCTTTATCGATCATATTTACTTCATTGACTATTGCAACAAATTTTTCTTCAGTGGTTAGGTTCACTTGGTTTCTAGGCCTTTTGAGCCATTTCTGGTGTTGGCACTCTCTTGAATAATGTCTCGATTTTCCACATACATAACAAATGACTTTCTTTTTGTTGGCAATAGACTCTTGGTCCTTATAATTTCCATTATGGACTTTGAGAAAGAAAGTCTTTTTGTTAGAATGAGCCCTTGATTTTTGCTTAACAAAGTTTGCCTTAGAGTGAAAATTAATTAATTTTTCTTTCTTTTCCCTAAGTCTATTCACTTCTTAAATTCGAAGAGATCTTCGAAGTTGAATCAAATGAAGATCAATTTTCTTGCGTTCCATCTTCTTTTGATACTCTCTCCAAAATAGGGGTATCTTATGAGTTATATAGCCTACTAGGAAATATTTATCAAAAGAAATCACACAATCTTTAAGTTCATTCACTACAAGCTGCAATTCATATACTTGAGAGAGAATATGTTTGTTTTCAATTAATTTAAAATCTAAAAGTTAGAGATCATAAATATTTTGTTACCATACTCTTTCATTAGGTACTTGGTTTCAAGTAGTTTTCATAGCTCTATTGTCGTACCAATGGAGGCATACATGTCATAGATAGGGTCCGCCAAGGCATTTAGGATATGACCCTTGCATATATAGTCATCCTCCATTCATATCTTGTATGATTGAGTTTGCTCGTCAGTGGAATCATCCGATGTGGCGGCGGCATAGGCATTGACTCGATGACTATGTAAGCCACTTTGAGAGTGGTAAGCAAAAAGAGAACCTTTTACTGCATTCTCTTGAAATTCAACCCGTTGAAGTGTTCGAGTTAAGTAAAATCGAGATTCATTGACTTTCAAAGAAATCATGGCAATCTCCTTTCTTTCACCCATAAATATTGTCTTGAATTGTTGGAGGTTAAGTCGGTGAAATGGGGGCAGAGAATGGTACAATTTCGAAAAATTAGATCTCGAACTCTTTTTGTTTTCGGGCATGCAGGAGCGCTATTTCAAGATGATATTTACCCCCTTTGATAGAGTGTTTGATATGCATAAGAAGGACAATTTGTCATCGAAATACATGAAAACATAAAGGTCTTTTACAATATTCCTAAGCTTTATGCACCCGAGCTTAGAACCCACACATTAAACACCAGAGTCTTGAAAGTTTAGAGAGAGAAAGAAACAAAAGCAAGTAGAGAGAGAAAGAGTTACCCCACTGGTTTTTCTCACTGAAATTGAAGAGAAATGATGCTTCGAGAGAAATGCAACGGTTGTGAAAGTGTGTATCTCATATGGCAAAAGGACCTTTTTATATAGAGCCACAAGGTGCTTGCACATTTATTGTAGCAGTGGTTACATGTACCACCAAAAAGAGATCGAGCCTCGAGCCCAACCCGTACTCGGGCGAGGGGCGCACGATGTGAGCAAAGTGCAAAGGACTCCATCAAGCGCCCTTGTGGCCATGCCTTCGCATACGCACCTGTTGTGTACTCCACACATGTACCTTCCCTCTCCTTTGTATTTAGAGAATATTTGCATGGGAATGCGTGCTCTTAAACATAGCTCAATAAACTCTCTCATCTTCAATGTGGGACTCAAACCAACATCTTTCTCTCTTTACAAAGCAATTTAAGAAAGAATAACAGAACCATAGTCAAAGTAATTTAGAAAAGAATAATAAACCAAAGTTGTTATTTTGAAATACATTTAAGCATTTTTCAAGCAAAAAATACTAACAAAATATACCACTCCCATTTTTGTTTCGCCTTTCTTATTTATCCTTGGAGTTTTCCGTTTCTATATTTTGTGGGCAAGTTTTTCTATTTTTTTTCTCATGTTTTTGCTTGTATAGTCTAATCTTGTGGGAGCATATGATATGGGAAAGATTTCTATACTTCCCCTACAACATAGGATCTATGCTTCCCCTACCATCCAATCATCCAATTTTGATCAAGTGAGCCACTCACTGTTTGATTTTAGATCCAATGCCTATTTGATTTTTAAATATTTATATACAAATTATATGAATATGAAATTTGATACGTGTCATCTTCTCATTGGGGTGCACTTACAAAATATTAAAACTAATTTTTCAATAAAATTATAATGACCATAATAACCCTTCAAACTTTCAAGGGTATTTTGGTTATTTTATTTTATGGCGAATTTTTTTTTATATTTTTTAAAAGTGCGCTTTTAATAGAGGATTGGACGCCCAAAATTTGGTGTTAACATAGTTTATATAAAAAATTAAAATAGTGTAGGGAAGTATATAAGTTTTATGTTATAACGGAAACATAGAAAGCTTGCCCAAATTATGTACTTATTCTCTTAGGCAAAAGACCTAAGGGGTTCATTGAGCTCAAAATCAGAATAGGTTAGTTTTCCTACTTTTTTAGTTTAATGTAGGAAAGCTTTCTCTCTTTATGTATCACATATTTTTTAGTAGTAATTTAATTGAAAATATATAATTGCGCTCTCCATATGCCTTAAAAAAATTAAAGCCTTAAGATTGAATTGGAACCATCCAATTTTTTTGGAGGGCACGATCAAAGTGCTTTCTTGAAAATAATCATCTAACGATATTTAGAATTTAGATGAATCTCAAAATTTTAGATAAAAAAATCAACTGAAAGCAACTCTTAGTTCTATTTATATGCTTTTATGGCTCAACAAAAGTAAAAACATTAAGTGGTCCCACTGAAGCATATACTGTACAATTGCTCCCTTGGGTAAAACGCAAGCTTGGATTCCTTTTTTGGACCCCAAAATTTCTAAAACCCAACACATAATTTCAAATACAAAAAAAATCAAGTTATGTTATATTTGTGCCTCAAAAAAAAAAAAACAATAAAGTCCCAATTTTGAACATGAACTCTCCATTTTTTTATAGCAAAATTGAGGTGTTCAAGATCCCAAAATGCAATTTTTTTTGTTAAAAACAATCATTGATGATATTTAGATAGATCCCAAAATTTTGATAAGTAAATTCCAATTCCAAGGGAGTTGTTATTTTACCATATGTTGCTATGGCAGCATGCTATACGCGCTCCAACACAAGTTTGTTTTGCGTGAAAATATTTTCTGGTAATGTGAAAGAATGTATAGGAATAATTTCACACCAATTGATCACAATATATATTTTTACAACAATGGGCAACTAATTGATATAAAAATATTCTTACATCTGACCACGTGAATGGATTTTTTATGTACAAATATTTATCAAGAAATAGTTAACACAAACTAAACATGCCATAAATAGATAATCAAGTCTAAAGGATAAAAAAAAGGCTTAGATGCAAAGCCAAAAAACAAAGGTGTGGTTTTTATAAGATTGCAACATTAAATAATCTAATTAAGCCACACCTCCGAATAATATCATAACATGTATTTTTGGTGTACATTTTTTTTAGTATTATCTAAAAATCTATTTTCACAATTAATTATAAAATTTTAATTTTAAAAATATTAAAATCAAGTAGATCTATAAACACATGAAAATTTAAAAAATCAACAGTCCAGATAATGTGTTGCAAGATTCACTATTTCTGAGACGCAAAATCTTTTTAGTTTTTCGATCAATTAGAGGGTTTATCAACATTAAAACTAACTTTTTCCTTTTCCATTGGATTTTTGGGGTACATGCAACTTTGTATAATTTTTTTTTTAAAAAAAAAAAACAGGTGCAAGATGAATTGTTTGGGATATAATTCGCGACGGAAAATGTCCCCGTCTAAAAGACAACTTGTTCCCGCTCTTGGAAGGTGCACAAAATTGCAGCTCTCTCTCTCTCCTCAACGCCAAAACTCCATCTGCCGCAACAAAACCCATCTCTCTCTCTCGCTCTCTCACTCATATATCACTTAGGAATGGCCTACTGCTCACTGTCCACATCAAGACTCCAAAACATTTTCTCCCACTCTTCTTGCTTCCTGTTTTCTTCTCCTCCTCTCCCTTCCTCTCATGGATTCTTGGGCTTTTTTTTCTTACAGCCTGTTCCTTTGCCAATTGGCCATCGCTCATCTTCACTCTGCTGTCGCTCCATCTCACTAAGGCCTCTGCAATCCATGGCTGCCTCCTCTGCTCAGAGCTCAGCTCCTGCAATGGCCAATCGCACCGGTACATTTAGTTCTCTCAAATGACTGTTGATATTGATATTTTGTAAATTATTTTTGGTTGTTTATCTGTATCGTTTCTTATCTACTGGTTAGTCGCAGTATTGGTTAATGGATCAAAACATCGTTTTGGTTATCTTTTTATTTATTTTTTTAATCATTCCCTAGACACTGACTGCCCAATCCATGGTTGGATTTCACTGTAAACTCTAGCAGGAAAAGCCAAAATAAAAAAAAAATAATCATAGTAACCTTCATAAAAGAAAAATCATAGTAGCACGATGTTTTCAGAAATGACAATAGTAGTTTGTCAATGTCGTCATTTACTGGAATTGTTCTCCTTCTTTAAGGAAAAGCATCGAATTTGAGCCTTCTGTAAAAATGCCTTGTTGCTGCGATAGTATTTCCACTGAGATGCTGACCTTGCAGTTATGTTCCTTATTTCTTTTTTGTCTACTTAAATTTACTTAAATTTTTGTTTCGAGTGTTGTATACCTCGACTTTAGCAAGGTTTATGACAATTATTTTAATTCTCATTGCATAAAATTGATTCATACCTTATCGGAATGTGGCTTGAAAGTCAGCATTAGGCTAGAATGAAGTCCATGGGAGGTGTGAAGCTACGACATTGTTGTTAGAATTTTTTCAATGGTTATATTCATTTAAACCTTCATCCTGAGATGCAATCTAGAATCAGGCCAAAATTCAGTTTTCCAATTTTTTCCCAAAAAAGGCTAGAGTATTTTCTGAAGCTTGGATAGAAATCTGAGCCTTTTCTTCACCACTCAATCTTGGTTCTCTTTCATTTATTTGTCTTTTCTTTTACACATGTGCATACATGCACATACACACGAATTTATTCACAGATATGCATATTTGCAAGTATGTCTGTGTGTCTTTCCTACATATTTATGTAAGGATACATGCATGCATACATATGTAAGTGTGTTTCTTTCTCTCTTTATGTGTATGCATGTGACATACATATGTAAGTGTGTTTCTTTCTCTCTTTATGTGTATGCATGTGACATACATATGTAAGTGTGTTTCTTTCTCTCTTTATGTGTATGCATGTGAGCATCTATGCTTACATATTACACACATATAAACACTTATATGTTTACACATTTGTTCTTGCGCATCTGTGTGTGTAGGTGTGTCTGCACACACATTTATTTATATAAATAGATAGTTGGATATAGAGACAGACAGACATATAGATAGATATCTCGCATGTTTCGATGTATTACCATATAGTGATAGATATACAGAGAGATATCAAGGATTCTCAGCACATAAATGGTTGTAGGAAAGGAGTCTATGTGGAGGTACTATAATCTGTAGCTTGTAGTTAGTGTTTAGCTTTTCTTGGTTATCATTTGAAGGCAGTATTACCATCAATCTTGGCTGGCGTTGGCCAAAGTATCTATATTATCCATTTATGTAGGATAATGCTTTTTTTTTTGTGTCAATTCACCTATTTTTTAGATTTACTATCATTTGTCATCTGCATATGTATTTATGAATGAATTTTGTTTCTCTTCCACAACTTTGGCTGATATAATGGAGATTCAGCTGATTTTTTCTTGTATTACTTGGTTGAACTTTCACCGATATTTATAATAAAAAAAATCATGAATAATTGAAGTTGGATATTGGAAATTAAATTCCCAATTCATGTTATTTTGAATTGTATGCTATATGTATCATGGTTTGATTTCAACGTAATTTAAGTATGGGAGTGCTGTTTAGCATGTCTCTCTCTCTCTGAAGCTCTAACAGTTAAGTGGAATGTTGATGTGCTGGACTTTCCCAAGGTTATCATTTTGAATATTGCTGGTTTGTTTTGTGGAAATTTTTCTTAGAATGATATGAGACCATCATGTGCATGAATTGCGGTATGAAAGTTTGTGATATTTGGTGGGATTCGTAAACTTTGGAGATGACCAGAACTGGGCTCCATTAAGCTTAACTTCGATGGTTGCTCCCTTGGGAACCCTGGACCATCCGGAATTGGGGGTCTGTTTCGATTGAGTAATGGATGCACCTTTTTATCCTATTACTGCCCTATCGGTATGGCGGACTCCACTCTTGCTAAGGCCCCAGCCCTCTTGGAGGGCCTTCGCAAGTTTGACCACACATGGAGTCCCGATCTGGTGGTGGAAGGGGACTTCAAGAAGTCATCATTTGGGCATCTAATCTTTCCTCTTGGCCATGGCGCCTAGACAATGTATTTGATGAGATTTCCCCCTTATCCCGTGGTTTTAGAATCTCATGGTGCCGTGCTTTTAGAGAAGCCAACTCTAAAGTAGATTGACTGGCTAGGGAGGGGGCCTATTCCAATGCCCTGTTGGGGCCTTAGCCTTTTGCAGCACCCTTTTCTTTCCTCGCTTCTTTGATCTGTAATTTTCTAATTGTAAGAATTTTTGGACCCTACAGGTTATGTATAGAGTGCCCTTACAGGGTCACCTCATTTTTTGTATACATTCAGTAGTGCAATTATAGTAAACTTTCTAAAGAAAAAGATATTTGGTGGAATTTGGTTTTATGGCTCTTTGGGAATGGTACTACCTACAACAGATACTTCTGAATGTTTATAGGTTTTGCGGAATCCTATTCCACTGGATAATGCTTTTGAATCTATTCCACCGGATAATGCTGATGTTTTTTTGTCTATACCACTTTACTATAATAGTAGATGTGCTCTTCAGTTGGCTTACCAACCTGCTGTTTCGTAATTGTGCTGAGCACATTGTTCATGATTGACACTTTACTTGGAGAAGCACATGGACTGAATGCACCAACTATCCTGCATCTCCTACCTTATTAATTCTCAAGTTGTTCCCAAGGCCCCCATAGTTGATGCACAAGGTTTTAGTGAACAAGCTCTTTGCTTATTTCTTGTCATTGCCTTGAGTTTGAAAGGGAGTGTTCAATAATAGTGTGGTGGTTCTATCTATTATTATGTCTATTATTCTTTATGTTGTCTATATCATTTAAAACCAAACATGTCATGCTGGTAGTCCTTGTTTCTCTCCCTAATCCATGTTGGTTTGTTGACCTAATCTCGTCAAGAGAATTACAAGCTATTCTCAACTTCCTGCCAGAACTAACAGCTATTTGTTAATCACAATGATGTTCTTAGCATCATTGGGTAATTGTTAATTCTGTATGCTTTTGGAGCCTTGAGAGGCATTTTTGATGAGACATAGATCCATTTGCTACTGGAAAGCCTATGAAAAGGTGGTGATTTGCCGCTTTCAGTTAGTCTTGGTCCTTTCTGGGTGTTTGGATTTCTTGTCTAGTTTAATCTGTGTTCAGGGTAGCAGAATTGATTCTTGGAGTCCAACATTCCCATATATCTTCCATTGCTTTTCTGTGTTTCCTTCCTGGCATTCGTGTATTTAGTTTGTGCATCTCTCTTTCCTTCAAGAGGTTATGTTTTAGGTTATTGTTACTTATAAATGGAAACATTTATGATGCATGCTTTAACATCCTATGATGCCTTCCATTCTGTTTTTTCTTCTGGTTTAGTCCAGGATTTCGCACAATTACTCTTAGGAACGTTCTCTTATGGCTTTTCTTAGCAAGTTAATTTTTCATGCGTCTACTTGGGCGTTGCAGTGATAACACTTAAAAGTCTTTAACATTCGGTATTAGAGTAGGTTTCTGCTCGTATTTGGAGGGTGAGCCTTCTTATGTTATTCTCCCTGAGTATAAAGAAATATGGTTATTCATTTGTTACTATGACAGGAAGTAAACAAGCATTGATATCCTTGTCAGACAAGCGAGACCTGGCTTTCCTTGCCAAAGGACTTCTAGATTTAGGGTGAGTTATTTCATTAATTTCCCTTTATCAAATGCTTAAATGATACCAAACTGATAGCAATCAAGAATTTCTCTATGCGTCTGTTTATTTTTTGTTTTCATTTTATGCATCTGTTTATTTTTTGTTTTCATTTTAATATTTCTAACTGTTTATTTTCCTTTTTGATAAGAATAGGTAATGTGTTTATGTGATCTGTACCCTGATTATTTAAAACATTTTGAAGATTCCTTCACCTAGCCACTAATGGATTAATTGAAATTGGCTATGTGGAAAAGTTCTTAAAAAAAGAAAAAAGAATTCGATTTTGTGAGAAGTTTCCGATTACAATGTTTTGCCTGAGAAACAATTTTCTGGAGAGCTTTCAAAAACTCCATTTCACATGGGTTGTCCTATGTTAGAGACATATTATTGCACCTGAGTGTAAACACTAGTTTAAGGTGACTATTGACATTCAAAGTTGCACCTTTTATGCTTTAAAAAGTTTCTTGTGCATGCAGACTGCTTTCTGAATGGCATACTTTTCACTATGGATGTGGCTTAGATCGAATATCTCTTCTGGATCTACAATCCTTATCTATATGAATTTTCCTTAATTCTTACTTTTTAGGCTTTAAATCACAGTTGAAGCCTGCTGGAAGAGTCAATAATGAATTTTACTTTCTGAGTTTTTTATTTTTCTCTTTCCATTATGGAATCCAAGAAACCTAAAGGTGGGTAACATAGGCAATCTTCTTAAAAATCACTCTTCGAGAAGATTGTACACCCCGTAGATCAGAAAGTTGAGAGCCTTTTTAAAATTTATGTTCTTTCCTTGTTTTTCCAGTTAAATTTGTTTCCTTATTTTATTTAAAAATCTAGTATTCTAAAACTATAAGGAACTAGTTATCTTATTTTCAAAAAATCTAGAAGATCAGGAAGTTTAGGGAACTAGAGTTTGCTTGTGCCCCAAGCTAATTAAAATGAGGAGACTTTCAAACATCAAATAAATAGCCATGTAGGTCTATTGCCAAATTAAAATCAAGTAATAAAACTTGCATTGCAATTGTGGTGAGAGGCCACCTTTAGAGGAGATGTTCCTCAACTATTTTGTGGAGAGAATGATTCTAGAACTCTACCCTAGGATTAGGGAAGTATACACTTAATTGTTAGGGCCCGTCTCTTCCTTTGGTTGAGACTCCCCAAAATCCAAGCTTTTGTATTTGGAGGTTCTCCCCATTTAAGCTTGGGTCCCTTCTTCTGTGTCACTCCCCCATCCAAGTTTCCTCGGCACCCTATTTGTACCCCATTACATCGACCCTTCCCAAGCCCTGATAACAGAGCCCACCTCCTTCCCAAAACCAGTGCCAATTTCCTTAAGCCCCATCAGTCTTTTATTAGCCCTAATCTTACCTCATTCCCTTCTTATCTATCAATTGCACTTGCTGAACCTGAGCAACTTCAACCCCCCTCAACACCCTTTGAATCGATCCCTAATTGTTTCCCTAATCATATCTAACACTTTCGTGTCACCTCACCTAATTACCTTCAATCCTAACATATTCAGACGTTAAATTCTCCAATCCTATTCGAACTAGTAGACTTCAATAACCCCAAAACCTTGCTGTTGCATATTCTGTTAAGTTCACCTCATGTGTAAAGGCAGTCCACATCCACCATTTCCAGTTCACTGTTAAGACTATTTGTTGATTTCAACAACAAAATAATAATAGAAGGCCATCGTTGTCAAATGTGGGATGTGGACCCAATGTGCTAGGTGCTCTGATGCACTATGCAGCTCAATGCTTTCCCAATGTGGGCACATCACTTACAATGCAGTCAACAAATATAAAAAATTATAAAAGCATAAAAGTACAAAGAATAACAAGAATATGCGATTTATATAATAGTTAGCATTTTACTTTAGTATTTATCTCCAATATATCTGTTGTCTGAGTAATTGATAGCCTAAAAAGAGTAATCGAGTTTGTTGTCTCCATTCCCTAATAGTCTAATGCAATTAACAAGTAAAATAAATCAATCCATTCCATTCATTAAATTAAAGAAAACAAAAAGAACATGTATTATACCGAGTGACCAACCAAGCACTAAAAGCGTATATTAGCATCTAGCAGTAAGTACAATATACTGTAACATACAGCCCAAACCCAAAATGCCAATGAGTCATGACATAACATTCAAAAAAAGAAAGTAAATCACAAGCACAATTGATCCTGGTTCCAGAATGAAACCCAGAATCAAAAGAAATTTCGATAGCTAAGTTTTAATTTCCTCACTCCTTGAAACCCCCAATTACTTGGGAAATCTTTGCCCTAAATCCTTCAAATTAATGCACAAATAGACTTGAATGTTGCACAAAGAATCCTCAAATTTTATTGGAATCTTTGTATCTGATTTTTTTTAAAAAAAATCAATAATAGCTTGTACAATTTTATCCCCGTAGAACCATGAAAAGATGGTTTTAAGGAAAAAAAGACAGGAGGGGGGGTGGGGGGGTGGGGTGGGGTTTGAAATGCTGCTACTTGTGGGCATTTTTTCTGCCCATGAGCAGTTAATCTAGAGAGATACCTGTATATGCAATCAGTGTGCCCTCATACATGGGAGCATCATGAAATGTTGCATCTGCAGGTGTATGCATTCCGCCTGAGGGCACATCCACTTTTATGTGGTCGCATTTGATAACTATGATAGAGGCAAAACAAGCGAGGAATTCAGAGTTTAGAGGCTGAGGTTTATACACTACTAAGCACATAACATGGACCATTCAACAATGGTTGATGTTACATGCTGATAAATGGTTTTGGTTTTGTCGTTGTTCCTGATTTTTGTTCCAAGTTGAATTCTTTACGCTTGTAAAATTATGTTTTAGATAGAGAGACAAAATGCTACACTTTATTTTCATTCCAGATGTGCTTAAAGGCTATTCTATTGTTGGATTGTGTGTGAGTCCAAGTTGTTACTCAGTGCTGATTAGTTTAGTAACTCAAAAACATACCTTGATAGTTTTTAGATGATAATAATTGCTTCAGTTTCATCAAGTGGACCTTAGACAAGGGTACTCCTTGTCTCCTTTCCGATTCGCAAGTGTAGCTGATGTCTTTAGCAGGTCCATCGATAAGCTTTACAAGGATGGTATGCTCACAGGTTTCTCTTCGTCCCCTCGTGGTCCCACCATTTCTCATCTTCTATATGCAGATGACCCTTTGGTGGTCCTTGATGCCTCCCCTCAAGAAGTCGGCAATATATGGGCTATTCATTCATTGTTTCAAATTAGAGATGGGCCTAAAGGTCAACATGCATGATTGGGGTTTGCAGCCTGTAAAGGCCTTAAGAATATGTAAAAAATAAAAATTATAGTGGATGCACACTTCAGTGGGAGTGTATGAACCATTGGTTGAGTCACCTAGGGTTGAGCGGTATTGCATAGGTCATGTCTAAAACCCTTACCCCTCGGCATAAGCACTACCGTTGAGGGTTGTAATGCAAGGTCATTGGTATCAGAGTGGGTCCTCTTGCTATCATAGTTTTAGGAATTTTCTTTATTTCTTTAGTCAAGAGAATGGCAGCCAAAGGTTTGATGGCTGAACGTTTAAAGGCTGAAAGGTTCAATGGGAAGAACTATGCCTCATGAAAATGTAAGATTCTCTATGTTCTCTTAGAGGAAGGACTCAGTCAGGTGCTAATCAAGAATCCCTCACCTGAGCCAAGCCACTGTAGAAATATCTAGGGTTACCCCTCTGCTTGGGTAAACCAAAGACGTCCCAGTGGGACCCCACAGTTGAAAAACCTGTAAATGTCGCTTACTCTCTGTTGGTGGCCGTATTACCCTCATCAAATCCATCTTAGCAAGCATCCCAACATTCCATGTTCCTTTTTTTTGCGTGCCAGTCATAGTGTCACTGAAACTTGAACATCTCATGCAGAATTCCTTTAGAATGTAAGTTCAAAGTTCAAACTCTCAACAGATTCAACCTGTTTAGGTGGGACCAGGTATAGAAAACCTGAATCCTCCAGGGACCTAGGCTTCTGAAACGGCCAAATTGTCAACGCCACCTCGTGGGCAAATGGTGGTCACCACTAATGAGGATCAAGTATGGAGATCAGTAATATCTGATAGTTATGGTATTCAACTTTTTAGATTGTGTGTGCTTCCTACCAATATCTGGGGACCATACTAGATTCTGGAAAGACCTCTAGCTTGGAGATTAAACCCTTGCCTTCGCTGCCCTCTACAGCACTGCTATAGATAGTGAGGCCCTTTATTGCTGACTATGCTTCTTGAGTGGCTGGGAGTACAGTTTGGACTCCTATCCTATGTTGAGACCTCACTAGGACTGAAGCTTACCAGCTTGTCTCCCGTCTTGCTCGGTTCAGGGCTTTCGTCTTACGCCTCTCTGGTGCCGATAAAATTGTTTGGGACGAGTGGCTCTTTCTCAGTCTCTTCTTTTCTCGAAAGCCTGGCAACATCCACTCCCAATCCGGTGACTGTAAACAGAGCTTGGCTCCCATCGGTTCCATCGAAGGTGCAAGATTTCCCTTCTTGCCGCTTTGTGCAAAGTCCTAACATTGGACAAGATAAAAAACGAGGATCCCATCTAACCAATAGTTGTGTCCTATGTGGTAACAAAGAGGAATCCTGCTCCCATCTCTTTTTGTTGTGCCCCCAGTTAGTCACAATTTAGGCTCATTTTGTGAACCTCTTTGGCCTCTCCAGGTTAAAACCCCTTTGGTGGAAGTCCGTACAAACAACACTTTTCTCTTCCCATACCGTCCTCTGGTAGGCTACTTTGGCACCTCACCATCAGCTCAAAAGGAATCGAAGGATCTTCAAGGGTTGTCATTGTACCCATCCACCATCATGTTATATTTTCGGCTTCCTCAAACAAACTCTTTGCTGCTAATCTACCTCGAATTCCCTCTCCAATTGGTGCGTTGCCATCTTTTAAAATCGCTTCTGCCATCACCACCTCCTCAATGGTTACCCCTGACCTAAATTAGACTTCGATTGGCAATATCCATGGGAATCAAAGCCGTGCTGGCATTGGTGGCCTATTGCGAACACATAATAGGGACTTTCTTCCAGTGTTTCAAAAAGCGGACCGCTCAGCGTCTGGGCGGCCACTAGGCGGATCTGGGAGCCTGGGCGCATCACCCAGGTCTAGGCGCCCAAGCGGGCTCTCAGGAAACCTCTAGGCGGCTGCCCACCGCCCAGACTTGGGTGACCGCCCAGGTCCAGTGCCCTGCCCAGAGGGGGAAAAAGCTTTTGGTGGGGGCTATTTTTGCCCCTTTTTTTATACTAAGGGTTCAAAAATGGGGGTTTTAGGTTCATTTGAAACCTAAAACTCATTAGAGCCCATTTTAGAGAGAGAAAGCCCCCAAAAAACTGGTCTTTGGTGATTTCTATAGGATTGAAGGGTTTCTCAAAGTTATGAGAAATTGATCAAAACATCACCAATTGATATTAGATTTAATTTTTAATGTTTTATAAATCTATTGGGGGTGTTTTTTTAGAAGATTTTGATTCCTTAGAAGCATCTATAAGGTGGAAGTTTGGAGATTGAGCAATCAAAGTAAGTGTTTTTTTTTATTGCTTGTATAAGTTGCATTATTTTGAGATGTCTTCTTCGGGATCTAATAGGAGTGGTGATCCTGATTGGAAATATGGCTACAACCCAGATCTTAGTGATAAAAATTGCATAAGATGTAAGTTTTGTGAGAAGGATACAAAAGAGGGTATAAGCTGGTTCAAGAAACATCTTTCCGGTATCAGGGGGATGTTGCCCCATATAAAAAGATTTTATGATGTTGTTAAAGAGGAAATAACCAATTTTTTTAGTATGGTAAAAATGAAAAAAGATGAGAGATTTACCTCTATAGCAGAGATTACGTATGGGGTTGGGGCCAATTATGATGATGATGATAATGATGAGGATGGGATTGGGGAGGGGTGTCAAGAGGTAGAACAATCCATTATTAGGAGGAAGGGAAAGGGAGTTGTAATTGCTTTTGGTTTTGGGAGTAAGAAACCTCAGGTTAGAGGCCCAATGGATAGTTTTTGGCCTCGGCCTGACTCTGAGGTTGTAGGAGAGAAAACAAAGAAGCAAACCACCATTGAAAATAGAATGATGAAGGAAGAGAGAGATAGAGCTGCTTATTATGTTGCTACATGGTTTTATGAGGCGGGCATTCCTTTCAATACCGCTCGCCTAAGCAGCTTTTATGCCGAGGGAGAGGCAATTGGCCAATTTGGGGCTGAGATGAAACCCCCAACCCTATATGAGCTTACAGAGCCTCTTTTGAAAAAAGTGGTGAGTGTCACAAAGGACGCTGTAGAAGTTAAGAAGGATGCATGGGCTCAGTATGGGGTTTTTATTATGACTGATGCTTGGAATGATAAGTAAGATGAATTTGCTTGTGAATTGTCCTTTAGGACTGGGTTTTGGAGGTCTATTGATGCCTCAGATCCTATCCATG